AAATGGCGGCCGCAGAGTTCGTGCCAAAAAAACGGCAGTTAGAAGAAGGCCTTGAGGCCTGAGGCCTAAGCTGCGATGAGCCCTCGTTCTGAGGAATCACTTGGGCTCCTAACGCAGCGAATGGATTCCCAAAAAAAGACCATTAGAAGAAGAAGGCCTTGAGGCCTGTGGCCTAAGCTGCAATGAGCCCTCGTTCCAAGGAATCGCTTGGGCTCCTAACGCAGCAAATGGATTACAATTAGGTGAGCTGAGAGAGGCTGAGGCAGGCCGAGGCCTAGTAAGGCCTCCAGGCTCTGAAAATTGGATCGGTGCCAAAAACTTTCTCCTGCTGCTGGGGCGGTCTGCTGAGGCCGAGGGACCTAGAAAAGGCTCCCTCCAGGCCTGATGAGCCTCGTCGTCCCTTGCGGAGCCCCCCAGTCAATTGGCAAGCTTACCCCTGCCTCTAAGGCCTCCAGGCTCTGGTTAGAAGAATGGAGCCTCTGATGCAGAGGAACGGCCCCTGGTAGGAGATTTCTCTTGCTTCTGGGAATCCAATTTTCAAGCTGATTGTGAAGCTGAAAGGCTCTCAAAGGGAGAAAGGGAAAGTTCCCCCCCCCCAAAGGGAGGTTTTGTCAGCCTGTCAGCCTGCTAGGCTACAGGTTGGGATGAAATAAAATAGGAATACACAGTCTTCTGCTCCAGGAGCGAAGAAAAAACGCGTCTTAGAGCAAAGAGACTAAGTCTAAAACTGGGGTGCAGTTGGCACAGAGGGGGCGGTACTAAATTTCAGACTTAGTCTAATTGGAGCAGATAGATTAAGACAACCCATCCGTGGGTTCTCCATCCAATCATGCTGGAGAATCTAGGCATCCACTCATCTGAATTTGAATATATTGTAACTTTCCAGATGGTCTTGGCTCATGGTAATGTAGACTTATGTTTTATCATTTTTCTCCTCTAATTTCTTGTTCAATATGGGAACTGAGAGGGCAGAATCAGGTGCTCTGGAAAGCAAATTCTGTCTTTGGCCTATTGGACTGTATAGGGAGTGCCAATCCTATGAAGAATCAACCAGGAAATGCAGCAGAAAGATTAAATGCACAAAGAAACATAGTGATATATTGCAAAAATGGAATAAGGGAACTGCTCCTGTTCCTTTTTAATATTTTTTTTAAAGTAGTAACCATGTGATAATATTTAATTCCATATCAGGTTATGGTGAACTTAACATTGGGCTCACACTAAGCCATAAACAAGAATGCAAAAATTGTTTATATAGGCACTTCTCAACTTAGGCTTAGCAACGGGCATGTGTTTACAATGGTTTTATTTATTTATTTATTCATTTAATTTAATTTATATGGCCATCCATTCATTTTCAGTGACTCTTTGAGGTTTACAAAAATTGTGGTGTGTGTGTATGTGTGTGGGGTGTCTCAATTACCATTTACAACTTTCACAGAGGACTTCTGAGAACCAGAGTCAATGAAGAAGCTGAATTTGCTTAATGGTTGCATTATTCACTTAACCATGGCACAAAAGTAGTGAGCTATTGAACAACTGCTCTGATTACCAATGAAAGCGGTAGGGCCCAATTGTGGTTATAAATTGAAGACTACCTACATGCTGCACTAAAGTGCAGCCAAAGAAACTGCATTATGGCTATATACAATATATAATCTTAGCCAGAATCACTGGTTGATATATCCTATTAGTGAAGAACTCTCTTTATTAGTGCAAGTTCAAATCTTTTATATTGAGGATGAAAAAATTCTTTTCTGTCTGTAATTTTCCCACCATGCATGAATGTTTACATCTGTTCTGATAGAAATTGGATTTCTACGTATATCTTTTTACATTATAGGACTTTAGTTTTTATTATAGCTATTTTTGACTAATGTTACTGTATTTTTTATTGTTTAATATTTGTACAATAATGAAAACATAGATCTTCTCAATAAATAGATTGACAGATACAAATCCTACCAATTTTATAGTTGTAACAAGGTAGCTTATTTAAAGTGTTAATTAGCACAAGGTAACTTATTTAAAGTATTAAATAATACTTTAAGATTGCAAGGTGGCTTATTTAAAGTATTAATTAGCACAAAGTTTTCTCCACAACACTATGTCTACTTGACTGTGGGCATGGTAATTTGTACATTTTCAGCTCTTGTTTATGAAGATTAATCATTTACTTAGGTGGCAAAATAGGTCATTCATTTTGCTGGTTACAATTATTAATCATGTGCAGATTAAAGGAACAGAATTAGATAATGGGTTAGGCAAACTTTAAGCAATGCAAATATATAAATTTAGGATTATGTAATGATAAACTTGGAACTCTTTTGCCATCACAGATATCATATTATTGTACCAGATTAGCACATAGGGAATAACGAACATGCAGGTTCTTATCATATGAATATCAGAAAGGAATAATTTACAGTATTGCTACAGTGCTCATGAAGATCTAAACTAAAATGCAGTATATTTTTATGGATCTAATATATTTATTATTATGCAAAGCTATTTCCCATATTTAATATAACTTCAATTCGTATTCATACAAGTTACTCCCAGCTCATATCTGGATGCAATTTCACTTTGCAGTAAACTACTGCCAAGGCAACCTATTCTAACCCTACCCAATATTATTTAATGTTGCTACAATGTTCTGAAGAGACTCAAACAGAAAGTCTCTGGGTGTTTTCTATTATAAAGTGGGTGGAACAGAGTTCTTCAGAGGAAACAAAAACATGAGCTGCCTGCAGATCACATTCTGCAGTTCCTTAATTAGCTCTAAGAATTTAGTTTCCTTAGATACTGAAATAAACTTTTAGTCAATTAGGAATCCCAGCCTTTGAGATCTGTTTCTTTATTTTTAAATTGTAGCATAAAAGTTAACATTCACATGGAGGGCATTACACCATAAACATTGCTCTCTATGACTACTCATAAATTTTAGTGAATAATGGTTGTACATACAAACAGGCACTATTAGAGATTTATTGGGGGAGAAATTACTGCCAATATCCTGGTTTGAGTAATAAGTGAAGGAATTTTTTTAAGGAAAAGTGACAATATATCTAATTTTCCCAAACCACATTTTATCAGTGGTGGGATTCAAATATGTGAACAACCGGTTCTCTGTGTGGATACCACTTCCGGAAGTCCATTCTAAGCCTGGGCACCAAAAAATTAGCTACTGGTTCTGCCGAAGTAGTGTGAACCGGCTGAATCCCACCACTGGTTTTTATTCAACCCAGCCAAAGCGTTTGTACCATCAGATAGATCAATACTTTCTAGTCAAGGAAATAAAAATAATAGGCTATAACAGGGGTGTCAAACTGGTGGTCCACAGGCTGGATGCATCGTGTGCAGGCCATGCCCACCCTGGCTCCGCAAAGGCAAAAAACATCATGATACATCATGATAGGTCATGTGATGCAATCAAGTTTGACACCTGTGGGCTATAAAATAATCTCAACAGATATGTCAAGATTTGGTGTTAATCTACACATACCCAATATTGGGTCATTGACTTCAATAAGCAAAGAAAAAAACCCATAAAGGAAATCTGACAAGAAAACGGAAGGAAGCTGAAGGAAGCCAGTCATGAGGATGTTTTATTTAGCAGTGGACTTAGGGTCTAGACTTCATTCATTCTTGTGATTTCTCTTCTGTAGCAAATTCCATATTTAACACCACAATAATAGAGGAGTAAGCAGTGGAGTACCATAAGGCTCCATCTTAGGCCCAGTACTCTTTAATATGAAGAGAAGGACAAAAAGTGACATGATAGCAGTGTTCCAATATCTCACGGGTTGCCACAAAGACAAGGGAGTCAAGCTATTGTCCAAAGCATTGAAGGCAAGACAAGAAGCAATGGATGAAAACTAACCAAGGAGAGAAACAACCTAGAACTAAAGAGAAATTTCTTGACAATTAGAACAATTAACCAGTGGAACAACCTGCCTCCAGAAGCTGTGAATGCTCCAACACTGGAAATTTTAAAGAAGAGACTGGACAGTCATTTGTCTGAAATGGTATAGGGTTTCCTCCCTGAGCAGGGGGTTGGACTAGATGGCCTTCAAGGGAATAGGAGGGGAACTCATCAAATTTGCAGATGACATTAAACTGGTAGGAATAGCCAATAACCCAGAAGACAAGCTCAGGATCCAAAAAGATCTTAATGAACTCAAAAATGGGCCCTATCTAACAAAATGAATTTTAATTTACATTTGGGCAGGAAAAATCAAAGGTATAAATACAGATTAGGTGAGACCTGGCTCAAAAACAGCAACTGGAGTCCTAGTGGACAATCACTTGACTATGAGCAGCAGTGTACAGTAGCAACTAAAAACAGCTAATACAATCCTGGGTTATATAAACAAGAGACATAGAATCAGTATCACACGAAGTATTGAAACACTTTATAAAACCCTAGTAAGACCACATCTGGCGTACTGCAACCAATTTTGGTCATTATGCTACAAAAAAGATGTTGAGAGTTTGGAAAACGTTCAGAGAAAAGCAACTAAAATGATCAAAGGCCTGGAGAGTAAAACATGAGGAATGATTGCAGGACTTGGGTTTGGCTAGTCCAGGGGTAGGCAACCTCGGCTCTTTTATGACTCATGGACTTCAACTCCCAGAATTGGGAGTTGAAGTCCATGAGTCATAAAAGAGCCGAGGTTGCCTACCCCTGGGCTAGTCTAAAGAAAAGAAACAGGGGCAACATGATAGCAGTATTCCAGTATTAGAGGGGCTACCACTAAGAAGAGGGCATCAAACTATTATCCAAAGCACAGGGAGGACAAAGTGGTTGGAAACTGACCAAAGAGAGAATCAACCTGGAATTAAGGAGAATTTTCCTAACAGTGAGGACAATTAACCAGTGGAACAGCTTGCCTTCAGAAATCATGGGCGCTCCATCACTGGAGATTTTTAAGAAGAGACTAGACAGTCACTTACCTGAAACGGCATAGGTTCTCCTGCTTGAGCAGGGGGCTGGACTAGAAGACTTCCTAGGTCTCTTCCAGATTCTGTCCTGTCCTGTCCTATCTTATCCTATCCTATCCTCAAACTCTGATCATATTGTAAATATACAAATACAGAGAAATCTCTCAGCCATTTATTGAAACTGAAATGCAATGAGATGTTCCTTTTACCAGAAATAATGAGGAACTCCACCTCAAACCTTCAAAATGGATAATGCTGGAGAAATGGGAAACCTTGCATTTTTAACTGACAGTCTTAATTTTCGTACAGTAATATGTTAGCTCCAACTTCTGTTTACAGAAGATACCGTCTAACAGACTCCCACTAGTTAAAGGTGCTTGGTGGTGCAAAGCATATTTTAAAAAATAATATACTCAAACCAATTCACAATTGCAAAAATATTAAAATACTCTCCCTGTACAGTTTAAAATGACTTTAAATTAAGCCATAAACTGGCAACGTTTTCCACTGTTTACTTAACATTATCTCTTTGATCTTATGCCCAAGGCTTTCCTGGTGCAGGATCATACTGAGAAACTAATCCTCCCTATGTCATATGATGACACGGCACAACTGCGAAACCAATTGCATTACGAAACTAATTGTTTTATAGCCTGTGTATTGAACTTTCTTCCAGTTGACAGAGCTAAAGTATTTTCGTGTCCGCATCGGATTGTTTCTCTCATTCTAGCTTCGCTTGAAAGAGGAGGCGCCACTTTCTAGAAGCCGAGGTGCAAACGCTTTAGGCCCGCAAGGATGGCAGCCACCGTCGCAACTCCTGAACAATCTGTCTCTGTTTTTCAGGAATTCCGGGCTATGTTTTACGTTCTTGGTCCCAACGAGAGCTCCTTCAGCAGCGTCGAGGAAGTTCCCGATTACGTGGACAAGGTGAGAGTTCCTAATTTCACCTTCCTAAGTCCCCCCCCCTCCTTCTTTTCTATGCAGCAAACTGCTACAGTTGCGAAGCCCGCTGCGTTTGGAGAACGCAGCCGGTTTGTGAATGGGATGAAAACGGGACCTTGAAAACTCACATTTGAAAACTCAGCGCGGAGGAAAAAAATTCCTCTTTTTTTTTTTTTTAGATTTAGGAAGTGTTTTCTCTCTTTCCGCCGACCCTGACTTCCCCGCCTCCGCGAGTTCAGGGAGGTGGTTAAGAAATCACCAAGTCGTTTGGAAGAAGACTTGTGTTTTATGAGGCAGTAATCTTTAGCCAACCTGATTCCCAAAGAAGCTCCAGTTGAATGGCAAAAGAATCAGGGCGCAAAAAAACTCGGCTCCTGGCTAAACTAGGAACTTAAAAAATAATATCCCAGGAGAAAAGAAACTATCTCACTGGTCTTAAGAAAACATGAAAATGTTTAATGAGGTCACCAGGAATCAAGCTGAACTGAAAGGAGACTCACCTTTTGAGGGCCAACTCTCATTGTCTTCAGGTTAATGGGGACTATACAGTAGTGCAATACATTTGGAAAAGATCAAGAAACCCCCTCCCCTTTAAGAGATGCAATTGGTCCAAAGTATGCTATATTCTGAACCTGACTTGAACCATATGAGTGTACAGCTTGGTAGACATAGCCTCCTTATTTTCACTCCTTCCCCTTTAGAAGGAACATATTATTTTTCTATTTTTGTACATTTCTTAGGTTAATTAACTTTTTTGCTTAGCTTTTTTAATCCCAACATAAAAAGATTGGGAGCAAGTGGGCTGCATTTATGTACTTTGGGCCAGTCACTATTTCTCAGTCCAATTTTCCTTTAAGGGTATTTTGGAAAAAAATGCATGAGTAATTCAGTGTATGATGTCTTATATTCTACAGGAGCCATGGCACAGTGGTTAGAATGCAGTACTGCAGACTAATTCTGCTGACTGCCAGCTGCCAGCAATTTGGCAGTTCGATTCTCCCCTGTTCAAGGTTGACTCATCCTTCCATTGTTCTGAGGTCGGTAAAATGGGCATATTGTCCCCAGCATATTGTTGGGGGCAATATGCTGACTCTGTAAGCTGCTTAGAGAGGGCCGGCAGTAAAGCACTGTGAAGCGATGTATAAGTCTAAGTATTGTTATCCTTGAGAGATGGACAATTTAAAAATATAAAAAAGAAACAAACTATGTCTTATGTTCCTGGCAGCAGTACAAAAGTGAGCTGTTGTTTCTTCTGAATGAAAGAAGGGATATATCACAAGCAAATAAAATAAATGAAATAACTCTGGGACGCAATGTGATTTATATACCTTTGACTTGATGGAATGTGAACTTTGCCCTGATTTCTTAAGTTCTTAATTAATTTCTTAATTCCCTATGCCATATTTATTTATTATTTTTAAGTCAAATCATGGCTTAGAACAATGTAGAAATCCAGTTCTGCCTTTCAGAATTTTTTCATTCCTCCTCCTAAGAATGGAATCTGAAATTATATCTATAATTATAGATAGAATCCAAAGAGGTACTATCACTGATAATTAAAGCAACTGTACTGGTTGATAGGAGACAGGGTGCCTTTTTGTCATGTTACTTCAAAACATGTTAATTCTTTATTAATATTAGTGTGGCCATGACAGTGCTGCCGCCACAAAGTGAGGCGAACCAGGTGAAGGGGCTTGGATGACCTGGCTGCAGGGGCCTGAGGTATATAGTTGCTCTGTTGCCTGTCTTGCTTTTCACCTGTGCCACCCCTGCCACCTTTCTCACTTTACCTCGTGGTGGCACCAGTGTGCCACATGGCCTCCTGCTCTGTTGCAGCCACGAGCAATGAGATAGAACGGAGTGGCACATCCAGCAGGGCAAGGCTGGCAGTAGCAGTGTTCCCACTCACCTGTGCTGTGTGGGCTTCACAGTGCCAGGGTGCGCTGGCCAAGGGGCGGGCAGGCTGCGACTTTGGCCCCTGCATGCTCTCTACCTCCCGTTCATGGAAAAATATCGCCCCAAAATAAGCCCTAATGGGTCTTTTGGACCAAAAATACATATAAGACCTGATCTTATTTTTGGGAAATACGGTATATGTATTAAAAGTGAGAACATCTACAAAGAAGTCTGCAAGACATTATATTAGTGTGATCACTTATTATGGCTACATTTAAGGAGTCTTTTCCAACTTGTGCTGAAATTTAAACACCCAGAAACCCAACTCACTCCCCATTCCCCATGTAACTGAAATAGGGAAAAATCCAGTTGGCATAATTGGCATATTTTCTTCATTAATATATATGTGTGTGTGTGTGTGTGTGTGTGTGTGTGTGTGTGTGTATGATTAGAAATAAAAACAAAAATGCGACTCTTGGGAGTATTCATATTGTCAAAATAATGATCACCAAGAGAATATCTATCAAAAATAGAATTTAATCCACCAAGCTTTCGTCAAATACATTTGACATCGTCAGGGTTAAAAGGCAAACGCCGGGGGAAGTCTTATATACAGTTGTTTAATGCCTGTTTCCGGCTCCTGGAGCGTGTCATCGGCCCCAGCTGATCGAGTTGAGTCCCAAGCACACGCCCCACATCAGCACCTATCCTCTTTCCATTGCTAATTTGCATTCTGTCATACGTTACTCCATTAGCTGTTTCAGGGTTGGTCCGGTTGGGGGTCAGGATCTTTTCTCCTCCCCTGCTCATATGATTTGAAAAATGCCCACACGGCATGAACAAGCTAGATGATACCTCCCGCCTACCAGCCATTTGGAAACCTGCCCTTATTGACAAACGGCTCCCTAACACAAAAAATGACACCAGACCCACACTCACAAAAAACACACAGGATGTCACCACCACACATCCACACAAAAAGCAAACCCAAAGCCACACCGATGATGAAGCACGATCACAAACCAGAAGCCAGACCACAGCTGCATCATTAGCCACTTTAAACCCCTCCAATCCATACATGAAGCAAACTAACACCCTCCATGAAAATGAGTCACGACCATGAACGCGAAGCCAAAAAATAGCAAGGCAGCCCACCATCTTAAATCCCCCTGCAACTCAGACTAACCTGAGCACAACCAAACGAACACTCCCCCAGCCAATCAGAGCACAGCCAACCCCCAGCCAATCAGAGCACAGCCAACCCCCCAGCCAATCAGAACACACCTCCACCCAATCAGAACACAGCCAAGCTCCCACCCAATCAGTTATACCTCCACTGCAGTTAAAAGGAAGAAACAGCTAAGACCACACATTGCTCCTCGAAGCACGAAGCTGAAAACACCAGCCTGAAGATGACGAATGGGACTTTGTCGAAACGTCGCCAAGACACTTCCAATTTTACGCGGGAGAAAACCCGAACAACCAAAGACCTACATATATATAGCAGCATTAGAGCCCGCCATATTTCGTATTGGAGCAGGGGAAGAGACTAAAAACTCCCTAAAACAACAAGTCACAGGGCTTCTGATGGGCCATAGGGGTTACCAAACATTGTCTAAAAGGGAGGTGGAGGCTTTAGAACAACTCAAAAGAGACGATTCCATTGTTATACTCCCAGCAGATAAGGGGAGAGCAACAGTTGTCATGGACAAGGCGATGTACACGAGTAAAGCATTGGATTTGCTCAAAGATAGAGCGGCATACAGAGTGGTAGATAAAGACCCCATGATCGCACTTAGGAACCACACCAATAAACTCCTAGATGGTATAAAACGGGGCAAGAGAATGAGTGAGAACGTTCTGAGAAGGGTACGCCCCAATGACTCAGCACTAGCTAGATTCTGTGGGCTGCCCAAGATTCATAAGCCAAACATCCCACTCCGCCCCATTGTTGCATTTAAGGGCACCCCTACCTCAGAACTGGCCAAGTGGCTGAGCAATCGCATCAGCCACCTGACCGATGATAACACCAACACTGTGAGATCGGCCGAAGAGTTCCTGGATAGGATAAAACTCCTGAGGGTGGAGGAGGATGAGCTAATGATGTCCTTTGACATTATTTCACTCTTCACCTCCATCCCACAGGATCTGGCGGTTATGGTATTAAGGGACCGCCTGAACCAAAGGGGCTCGGGTCAATAGCAGGACTCTCTCCAAATCGAAGACCTCATAAAGTTAGTGAAAGTATGCCTGAAGACATATTTCACTTTTCAGGGTACCATATATGAGCAAACTAAAGTACACCTATGGGGTCTCCGATCTCCAGTGTAATTGCTGAGGTAGTACTCCAACAGTTGGAGTGCATAGCGATGGCCCAATATCGACCTAAATTCTGGGCCCGCTATGTGGATGATACCTTTACTATCATCAAGAGGCATCAAAAAACTAACTTTATGGGCATACTGAATTTGGTATACCCAGACATCCAATTCACGATGGAGGAAGAAAGTCAAGGTTCACTGGCATTCTTAGATGTATTAGTTCATCGACAGCCAGATGGAACTCTTGACACCAGGGTATACCGAAAACCAATGTGTACAGACAGAATCCTCCATCATAAGAGTAATCACCCAGTGGCCCATAAAGTTAGTTGCATTAGAGCCCTGTTTAAACGGGTGGAATCCCACTGTAGTACTGCCAGAGCAAAAACAGAGGAAAGAAGCCATCTTTTCCGTATGTGTAAACGTAATGGATATCCAACAAGGTTCATTAGGCACTTCAGTGTGCCACCTGAACCTCGAAGAGATCCGTGTACAAATGAGCCTGCACCACAGACGACACTGGTTACCCTCCCCTATATCTGCAACGTCTCTGAAGCTACTGCTAGATTACTAGCACCATACAATGTTAAGATAGCCCATAGACCCAATCAGACGCTGCGTGCCGCAATCATGCGCCCCAAGGACCCACTCCCCACCATGGATAAGTCAACAGTCATTTATAGGATCAACTGCAAGGACTGCTCTAAGAACTATGTTGGGGAGACCGCCAAGAGAGTAAGAACTAGGGTCCATGAACATAAACTAGTGGTAAAGAGGGGCGAACAATACTCACAGATTGCGGCACATATGACTGAATCGGGCCACCGATTTGATTTTGAAAACGTACAGGTCTTGGCTAGTGACAATACAAAAGGGGGCCGCTTGCTCAAGGAGGCATGGCTATCCAATAAGGACTCAATCAATCGCCATATCGATCTTTGCCCAGCCCACTTAACGCTGAGAGCTTGGAGCATGGGCAATTCCCCATCCCATTGGAGACATCTTAAAGAAATACGGAGTATACCAATGGAGAGGATTGTGGAAAAGAATTCCCCCTTTCACCATCCACAGCCCGGGAATACTCAAACGGAAGGTAGACAACGATCGGGATTTCCCCCCACCCCCAGAATCGCTAGGCATCTCCGAGCACTTGGAGAAATGCCAGGAGACACAGGAGCACCAACGTGTGGACTGAGGGACTGCACGCACCCCCCAAGATACCTGGAAGGGGGAGTGCCGCCCGATAAGAGACCCACATCTGAAACACCTCTGGCGAGAGTGCTGAATCGCCTACCACATTTAGGAGAGGAAAGGGCAGCTTCTCCAGCCCTAACATCTATAACAACTCGATCGCTCCACTCAGCAACATCGACTCAAACATGCCAACGGGGGGTATGGAGTGAACCCGATGAAGATAAGCATGGGAGAAACTCCGGGAGTAGAGGAGAGAGAGCAATGAGGGCTGATGCTCCTGGCTACCATGTAGAGAACACCCAAGGCGAGTTGATTAGAGCTGGGATGGAACACACCAAGACCGGAGATAAAGAAAGGAGACGCCTGGGGGCAACAACTACCAGATCGTACTCCAAGAGGGGAGGAATGACCTCATTAGCATGTTTGGAGGATAAGACCCGCCCACCCCACCTTGCAACGCCGATCTGCCCGTGTCAACGGACAGCACGGAAGAGCTCTCAAAATGATATCGTGCAAGCAAGGAGCAAGGAGGAAACAAGGGGCATGTCAGTAATCAACTTGAACAACATCTGCGGAGACCATGACTGGGGAAAACACAAAGAAAACAAGAGACAGTGCGATGTGACGGGGCAACCAGAATGGAGTGAAAAAAGGGGAGGAGAGGGGGGTGCTCGAAGCACGAAGCTGAAAACACCAGCCTGAAGATGACGAATGGGACTTCGTCGAAACGTCGCCAAGACACTTCCAATTTTACGCGGGAGAAAACCCGAACAACCAAAGACCTACATATATATATATATATATATATATATATATATATATATATATATATATATATATATATATATATATATATATCAGTATTCTAACCTTGGCGATGATTAGTTTTTTATTGAACTTTGAATAAAGTCACTAATTGCCTCTCTCCTGTGGCATAGTAATTTTTATTTTTTTATTTTTTTAATTTTTTATATATATATACTCCTCCTTTTTTATAGCAATTACGTAACAGTAATCTAATATTTACATTTCCCCTTATTCTTCTTTAGAATATTTGTCCTTATAGCCCCGTTATTTCTTATTTACATTTTTTTTCCTTCGTGTTCTACTTCTTACTAAGAATAATTCATATTATTATTATTATACATTATTATACACATATTTTCACTTTTGACCTTTCCATATTTATTCTCCTCTATTATTTCTAGTCTCCAACCAGACATACAACTTGTTCCATACTATATAATAGTCTGTGTCTTCCTTTTCTTTTATCTCTTTTGTTAATTTGTCCATCTCAGCACAGTCCAGGATTTTTCTTATTACTTCTTCCTCTGCTGGTATATTCTCATTTTTCCAGCACTGTGCATATGCTATTCTTGCCGCCGTTATTATATGTAAAGTTAAGTACCATATTTCTTTACTATATTTTCTATTTAAAATATCCAACAAAAAGATCTCTAGTTTCCAGTCTACGGGTTGGTCTATTATTTCTTGGATCCATTTTCTTATTGTAGACCAGTATTTTTTTGCAACTGGGCATGTCCACCATAGATGATATGTTCCATGTACTTTTTTTACATTTCTAGCATGTTGGTGAATTATTCTGGAACATCTTGGCAAGCTTTGCTGGTGGAAGATGCCATCTGTAAAACATCTTCAACTGGTTTTCCTTGAATGCCGCCGACATAGTCAATTTTATATTTATTTTCCATATTTTTTCCCATTTCTCCAATTCTATATTATATCTGAATTTTTTTGCCCATCTAATCATTTTGTCTTTGACAACCTCGTCTTCCATTTTATATCTCAATAGGTATTTGTATAAATTGCTAATTAATTTTATTTCTGTTCCATGTATAATTTTATCCAATTCTTGCGGCTCTTTTTGGATTTCATATAATTTTTTGTCCTCTGTATATTTAGATTGAATTTGTGTAAATGTCCACCAATCAATCTCTCTGCCAATGTCTTGTTCCAATTCTTGTTTTGTTTTCAAATTTCCCTGTTCATTTACTAATTCCTTGTATCTAATTATCTTATTTATATCCAATAGGTTTGGGTATTCCAGAGCTTCTGTTGGGGATAACCACATTGGAATTCTTATATAATGTTTTTGTTTTATTTTTTCCCAAGACTGTAGCAATGCATTCCTAACTATGTGTCTTTGAAAATATCTGTGTATTTTATGTTTTTCGTCCCATAGGAATGCATGCCACCCTGCTTACAAGTCATGTCCTTCTATTGTTAAAACTCTAGTATTTTTCAAATCCATCCAATCTTTTAGCCAAGTTAAGCTCGATGCTTGGTAGTATATTTCCCACTCTGGTAATGCCAATCCCCCTTTATCTTTCGTATCTTGCAAGAGTTTTAATTTAATCCTGGGTTTTTTCCTTTGCCATATAAATTTAGTGATCAATTTATTTAAATCTTGAAAGAATGTTTTCCCTAATTTTATTGGAATAACCTGGAACATAAATAATATTTTTGGCAATACATTCATTTTGACTGTACCGGTCCTCCCTAAAAATGAAATTTTCAAATTTTGCCAATTTTCTAAATCTTTTTTTATCTGGTGTAGTATTTTATCATAACTGTCCTCCTTAATTGAGGAACATTTCACTGTAAGCCAGATCCCTAAATATTTTATTTTCTTGATTATACTTATATTTGTTTTATCTTCCAATTCCCTTTCTTGTGCCTTTGTAAGATTTTTTGTTATTAATTTGGATTTATTGTTATTAATCTTAAGTCCGGCTACCTCACCAAATTCTTCTGCATAGTAATTTTTAATATATAAAGATTGTTTTCTTGCCCTTAATCAGAATGAGATATGAATGATACAGATACTGATACATGTTACATATTTTCTGAGCATTGAGGGCCAGAATAGTACATGGATTGCACTTTCAGCATCCTTTGCAAACCATCTACAATGATACACTCATTAAGATATATAGATAATGCTGTAGAGGAAATAATACCAAAATATGTGTGTTCAAATTTAGATCATTATTGGAAAAGAAAAACAGAATGTACATAATATCTTTACTTTGTTTATGTCTTTTCCCTTTCATTTTAGGCAACTCCCTTGTTTGTTACCCTGATTTTGCTGGAGTTCATAATTAAGTGGGCCCAGAAGAGACATGTCTCATTCATCCACAGTGATGATATAACATCTTTGTCTGCAGGTATCTTATCAAGACTTCCAGAGTAAGTTCAATCTCTTATATAGCATGGTTGTCTCAGATTTAAAGAAGGGTTAGGGTTAGGGAAATTAAAGGAAAATTAGAGGAAATTTTTCTTAATGGTTTCATAAACCTTAACTAATATATAATAATATATAATAGCTATTGTATAATATAATAATAACTTTAAAAAGCTATTGAGACATGTAGCTAATAATATAATGCAATTTTAAAAGATTTTGGTTTTACACATCTATTTCAAGATGTGTTCCAAACTCAAGTAGAGCAAATACTTAGAAGTCATAAAGTTAGCCATTTAATTATTTCAAAAGTAAAAAATGAACTATTTATTCATTCAGCATTTCATACAGAAATAAGAAAGCCATTTATCTGTATTTGTAATTCAGATATTTTGATCTTACAAAATAATGAAGGCAATTTATGGAAGTAAAGTTATTTGTTACTTCTATTGCAGTCTGTGATACTCAAAAAAAGTAGAGTCCTGATAAAGAGAACTTGCATTGGTAAAGAAGTGATAGGAAATGGGAAAATTGCCTTTCTTAAATTCCATTTAAATAATCTTAAAATATAAGCCCCAAACTACTGAACATTGGGCATAGTCAATATTTAAGAATGGAATTTCTATAAAATATTGCACTAATTTTCTGATAAAAATAAAATACACAGCACAAAATAATATATTTGGAAGGCTGATATAGTAGTGTAAAAGCTGATGTGCATTTTCAAGACTTCCGGTCCTGCACAGTAGCGACTGGTTGCAGGCTTGTGGACCACTGCACTCCTGTGGCCAACTTTTGTCCTGTCTCGAGACCCTAATGGGTCCAAGCAATCCCAGAGAGGTGGCAAAGAAAGAAGGGTGCCCCAGAGACTCTGGAATGATGGCGGTCATTCTGTTCGTCTTGGGGAAAGTCTTCTAATCCGACAGGAGAAAAGCTGTATTTCATCAACCAGCCCAAGCTACTTGTAACCAGAGTCCAAAAGAACTAACCAGCACTACAGTAAACAGCGTGCTTGAAACTGGGTGGGGAATCTGATTTTCCCTTCTCTATTCTACACTAAATTTCCTGGAAAAGATCCCCAAGAAGCAAAATACCTCTGAAAGTGAAGGAGGGGGACTTCCGCCCCATCCTTATACTAATGGAAGCAGCGAATTAAAATTTATATGGAGGATGAAAATATACAGTAGTGAAATAAATTTATAAACTTGAAAGCTAAAATTTAACTTTGGACAAGTTTAAGATTGCTGAATGGTTAAGTCTCTCATTTTAAAGACCATTGTTCATATTGAAAACTAATAGATGCTGACACCTAGTGGTGAATGAAGATTATGACAGCTATGATTTCCATAGAGAACTTGCTAGAACCTGGGAAAAGCTAATCTGTGTTTGTGACCTTTAAAGCTTTAATAATAAAGAACATCTGTGACAAAAAAAGACAACAATCCGGGCTGCAGACAAAAAGAGAATTATAAACTTTAGAAAAAATATTTTTTAAACTCTTTGGATTACAAATATCTATTTAACTGAGACTCTAAAGCTATTTGCAGATAAGAAGGATAACTCCAACTTTTGACCATCATGGATCAGAGATATGTAGACAGAACACACCAAGAAAACATAAATATCTCTCAGGAGGAGATATATAGTATACTGCAATTAATTCAAATAACACTGAGTTCAATCACAAAGAAATCCAAAATAGCTTTGAAAATACAAATCAATCTATCTCTAAGTTAACTTTACAACAAAAAAACTTCCAGGAAACAACAACAAAGAAGGAGCAGACAAAACAAATAAGTGGACATAAAATTGAAAATAGAGACTCAAAAACGGAACTTAACAAAGCAAGAAAACATGATATAATCCTAGTGGGGAAAAAATTACAAGAAATGGAAAAAAACAACTCATCCCTTAAGACTACAAAATAAATCTGAGGACAAAAAAACAGAGTGGATAAAATGGAATGTAGAGATGTTGAAACCATTAGAGAGAAAGGAAATGATAAGAAAAGCAAAGAAGGAGAAAGAGAAAAACATTTTCAAGAAACATGGAAAGGCAAAAGTGCCTCACATAAAGACACTTTATTTGATTTACTTCTTATACCTACAACAATTGCCATGAATATATGGAAAAACTTTTTGATTCAGCAAAACACATTGATCAAGAAAGATACTGGTTAAAGGAAAAAGATCAAAGTGAAAATTAAGAAAATAAATGATAGGATCTACTAGAGAGAATATTTTAAAAAGAAACATTTGTTTAAATACGGTTAAAGAAATAGAAAAGATTCTGAATACATATGTCATTCTAAGAGAGATAAATTCCTTAAATAATACTGTATACTCCCCTCCTTTTATTTTATTTCTTGATATAAGTAATATAATACTGCTGAAATGGCCTAGATCAAGGTTTTTCAACCAGTGGTACAGGTACCACCTATGGTACATTGGCACCTGGCAGGTGATACGCGGGGAAGAGGAATCAGCTGAACCAGTGGCAGCACCGCACAAGCCTGAGCGAGAGATGGCTGGAGTTGCAGGGCTGACAGGGCTCAGTGGAAGCGCCAGGATCACCGCTTTTTTGGGCCTGTCAGGGCTCAGTGGAAGCACCAGGATCAGCACCAGGCTCCAGCTGGAGCTCAGCGCTGATCCTACCGCTTCTGTTGAGCCCAGAAGAAACACCAATCACCTGGAATGTTGCAGCATCTCCAAACATTCAGTTGCTTGGCAACTGATTCATATTTATGACGGTCACTAAGCTAACTGTTGTAAGTCGAGGACTACCTGTTCTTTATCACTTCTTTCCTTTTTTTTTTTGGGTCATCAAGTTTTTGACACCTTGCTGGGCAACTGGTGGTACTTGGATATTGCCATATCCTAAAAGTGTACAATAGGTGAAAAGGTTGAAAAGCCCTGGCCTAGATGAAGGAAATGTTTTAGATAATTAAATGTGTCTGAATTTAGGGAAATTATAATGTATAAAAAAGAAAAAAATGTTTTGAATAGGAGTTAAAGGATTAGATGACTAGGCACATTAAATAGAACGTTTAAAGATTAAATATATTTTTAATAATGGTTAAAAAGAAGAAATTTTGGGAATGAATCTTAGGAGAAATATATATATTAAGTAGTATTTTACTTTTTATGTTTCTTTACTCTTGTTCTCTTTTCCTTTTCTTTACTGTTTTTACCTATTCTTTAAGAAATCTTGAGATGGTTTACATGTGAAAAAATGGAATTAAATCTTTAGATGTAATTAACTGTTGAGAAAATCTGAACCAGCAAGAATACTTTGAATCTACATAAGGACTGTAACAGAATATAAGATGAGGCAACCAGAATGATTAGATAGAAAATAAATATCATATTGATGTAATCATTATTTCTAGGAATATTGGGAAAAATCAAATATGTAACTGTTATTTATCAAAATAATAAGAACTGTATTATTTAAGGTTTGCAAATAAAACATTTTGGGGAAAGGGGGAAATCAACTAACTGTACTATGTGAATTATGGATTATAGAAACCAATTGTTAATGATTATTCTTTACAAATGTAAACCCATCAAACACACTCTTTACCAACTATTAAGTGATTTATGTTTAAAAAAATCAATAAAATATATGGGGGGAAAAGCTGATGTGCATTTTCAGTAGATATATTGATATATTGATAATGTATTGATATTGATAACAATATAACTTGTCTTTAAATAAAATATGCAAGTATAAGGCTTTATATTATATTCTGTTAATAAGTTCTATGTAATATATTTATTAAAGATTGAAATACTACAATGAAGCTTAGGATGCTGTAAGGCATGAAAGTTTAGGGACACACATTACTAATCATGCCTGTGAGCATGAAATTACTCCACTACCTTGGCATTAGATAAGGGTCAATAGAATTCAAGAGAAGTTCAAGGTAGTCTATTTGTGGCCACTTTGAGACTCTAGGCTGATTTCTCTTTTGACTTTCTGCCGTTGTTTCTACAGATGCATAATAAGAAAATACAATCCCTTTATGCACATTCAAAAGAAATAAGAGCGTCCTTATTTCCTTGTTCAAAGCTTGTCTATTGTGTGAAACGTCAATTGTTAACAGCAGCTGGCTAGATCTACGTATTTCATCTGCTCAGGTCCAGCTATTGAACATGCTGCTGGGAATTGTAAAAAATAGTAGATTTATCAATCTGATGGATATATATTGAAAGATCTGGCTTGGTGAACAATATGTTTAGTAAATGTAGTTATAATGCTTGAAAAACCTGTGACTAGAATGTGTTTACAGCATCCTTAGAACTGATTCAGCAGTTATGAGGATTGTCTTATTGTTTGATCTTATGGTCATTAGATCTTGATCTGCTGTGAGTATCCTTGTTTTTCTGCTCACTTCATTATGAATGAAGAATGTATTTGGCAATGAGACATACTCATTAGACAACTGCTTTGTTGTGACGGCAACTATAATTGCTTTGAAGATCATATGTACTCAACTCTCATATGGATAACAGGAAGAAAAAAGAAATCCTAAAAGAAGATACTAAAAATATACAATAAGTAAACATAATTCAAATGAAGAGAAAAAAAACAGTAAAATCACATAGAAGATGACATTATGCCCTTACTGAAACCTGAGTAATAATAAAAAAATTAAAAAGGACACAAAAAGAAGGGGAAAAAATAAATCACCAAAGAAAGTACATAAAGGGAGCCAGGATTTATAGATAAAGTGTCAGAAGACTGAAGCTTAGAAGATAATTTAAGGACAATTATAATTATAATTGTAAAATTACAATTAATTTTAGTCTTAAACAGTTTGTTTATTTTACTCAAAATAAAAGGAAAAGAAGCAATATATCTGCTACTTTTGTGGATAAACATTTATCCATGTAGTTGGAAGGAGTTAAGGTTTACTTCAGTTCTCACACACATACAATTTGACTGCTCAGTTTGACACTGATATCCAAGACGATTCTACAGCAGATCATAAAGTAATTGATTT